ATTAGAGATACCTTCTACAGCTTTATGATACTCAGGCAAAGATCTTCCTGCTTGACGCATTAACCAAATGGGAACTTTTTCTCCAAGGTTACCTTTTGTAATAACATCTGTTATTAGTGTTTTATTTCTTTCCAATCTATTTAAATTGTTTTCTTATATAATAAAGTATAGTAATAATAATAGTCATATCAACAACTTGTTATTAACTAAAATTTAGTAAAAAATTGCGTTATTTAATTTGTGGATAAATATGTTAATAACCTTTGTATATTATTGATTTTCTTGCATAATTTATGTGTATAAGTAAATTGTTTGTTATGTTAGCAATTTTTCCTATGGAAAATGAAATGCTGTTATATAATCATGTATATATATGTAAAAAAGTTGTTGAATAATTGTTAGTATTTTATATCAATAAATAATTCACAAGTTAATTTAGTGTTATTCACATGCTTATTGAATGTTTAATAACAGCTATCTTGATAGATTGAAATTAAAGCCGTTTTTTTATTATAGGAAATATATTGAGCAAAAAAAAAAGACATCTAGTATTTATAGAAAAGGTAACATGTAAAATTTTCCTATTTTTTTTTAAGAAAATTTCTGTGTTAAAGAGATCTGCAACTGAAGCATTGATGAAGGATCTACCAGACCTTAATATGTTTAATAGCCTGCTAAAGTTTCATGATTGTGTTATTATTGACATAATGACTCCACGCATGAAGATATGCGCAGTAGATATTGACTCAAATAAGCAAGCAATAATAGAGAAAGTGAAAAATACTAATCACACTAAAATACCAGTTTATAAAAATAATGTTGACTATATAGTAGGTTTTTTTTATGTAAAAGATATTATTTTTAATGTGGATAAAGACTTTAATTTAAAGCATATCATGCAAAGTGTTATATTTGTTCCACCATCGATGAAAACAACTAACCTTTTTACTAAAATGAAGTCTTCTAAGTCATACTTAGCTATTGTATTAGATGAATATGGCGGCACTGATGGTTTAATTTCAATGACTGACCTTATAGAAGAAATGATCCCAAATTTTGATAATGAAAATGAGGTAAGCTCAGAATATACTATTCTAAAATTGCCTAATAATAAATTCGAAGTATCAGCAATAATTCTGATAAAAGATATAGAAGAGGACCTAAGCATAGAATTGCGTGACTCCGAAGAAGATTATGCCACTCTTGGTGGGTTAGTTCTTTCAATTGCTGGTAAAATTCCTTCCGTAGGTGAGGTGATTGAATATAAGAATGGCGTAAAGTTTATTATCAAAGATGCAAATGAACGCTATATTAATAAAATAATATTAGATTTAAGTAATTATAAAAATTTTGTTTAATCTTTTTTATTAATTTTTCTTATCATGCCTTCAATCATATGCTTTATCCCTTTATATATAGCAAATAAACTTTCCTCCCTCATATAAGCAGAACAGGAAAATATATTATGCGTTTCATCTTCTATTGATAACTCTGTATCACATTTTATATGCTCTCCACCAAATTTTTCTATTAACTGGGTTTTGTCATCTCCTATAGTTACTTTTATTGTAGCTTTTTTGCTTAAGATAGAAGTAATTATGACAGGGGAGATACATATTGCTCCAATTGGTTTTTTTTTATCAAAAAACTCTAGAACTAACTTTCTAAATTCAGGTATTACTGTTGTTGTGCCTTTATTTTCATCTAAGTTGGATAAATTTTTTGCAACTCCATATCCTCCGGGTATAATTAATAGATCAAAATCTTCAACTTTAGCTTCTTTTAAGTCATATACTTCACCTCTTGTAATTCTTGCGGTTTCTACAAGTGCATTTCTTTTCTCTTTTATTGCCTCTCTTGTTTTATGGTTTATAACTTGTGGGATGCTAATATCAGGTGCAAAACATGTAGTATTTACTTCTTGTTGATCGAGTATTAGTAAGCTTAAAACAGCTTCTCTTATTTCTGTTCCATCAAGATGACCGCATCCTGACATAACAACAGCAGCTTTTAATTTTTTTGCACTCATAAAATACCTTGGTGTCATGTAATTTGAATATTTTAATATATATTCTATGTTTAGAAAAGAGATATATTGTATTGAATAATCTAACATAATTATTATATAATTAACTATACCTTCGGATAGTCCTTATCATGCAGCGCCGTATAGGTATAGAAATTATAGTAAGTTCATACAAAACTCAATCATGCCAATATCAGTAAATTTATTAAGTAAATAGCACTTGTTTTGTAGTATATAGTTCATGTGGAAATTTAATGGGTTTAAATATATCTATTTTCTCCTGAATTTTATATAACATCAGAAAATTGGTCAGGTATTTTACCATTCTGAAATGATCCTCGTAACTTTCAACACTTATGATTAATGGTTCCTTAGTAATCTATATATTAAAATATTAATTAATAACTTAAGATTTTAACTACTAGTATAGTTTTTTTAATGGATTGAGGATAAAAATCCTTTCTATGTTAACAAATTTAATTTTGATCGTATCACAAAAAATTGCCGATAATAAAATCGGATAGTAATGATACCACTAACCATAATTATCATCCTGTAAAAAGTCAATTAAGTAATCTCTTGATATGGGAGATGAGACGCTAAAGAAGGTACTAAAGAGAGAAAAAGAAGAAGGATGATAGTGGAAAATAAGATACGGAGATCAAGATTTTCAATATTATACCAAATGTCTATCATAACTTCATGAGAAATATAACATGAGATTCAACATTATTACTAGTATTATGAACCTAAAGCACCTGTTCTACAGCTTTTGAGTTGCATGACATCCACTTATCTGAGCAAATCTCTTCGAGTTGTTTCGCGCGGAATATTGATTTTCCCGTGACTGGGTAGCAACAAGAAGCATATTGTGACCACCTACTGATACAATTTCAGCTACTCTTTTTTGCACAACTTAATCTTTTATATCCTTCATTGTAATCAGTTAATTGCTCTATAGCAAGTATTGAAATACCCTTTATCGATGTAGTCTATATACCGTTTTCTCTGGAAGATTAACCCTTTTTCTTCCCGCTTAGCATGAATTTTTGCTGACAATATTCCTGAAATTGGTATCAACCTTCCATCAAGAGTAAGCCTGCCCATTAATATATCGATGGACCTTTCAACTGCTATAATAGCATGACAACAAGCAACCCTATGGCTATAGCTAATCATAATGACTGCCTTCCTTTAATAAATCCGCAGGTGAGAGATTAATTGATTCCCTGAAGTGCCTAGTTTTTATGTTTGCTATCATGATATATTACTTAAATATTTAATTTAATACACCAAATAAGCAATAAAGCAAAGTGCGCTATAGTCTTTTTAAGATAAGCAATCTGATTCAACCTATAGTAATAGATATTAGATCTAATATGACCCAAGAA